CATCCTTATCGTCAAGATAAAGCCGTGTAATGTAAGTCTTGTAGCGCATGCTTCTGATTATTCCAATTATCCGGCTCCCACATATGGGATAAAAATTGGCTTCCCTGGATCCACACCATGTGCATTCAATACTTTCTTGTATTTCTTGACATTTTCTTTGAGGAATTAGAGTTTCTTATATGGAATTTTGACTCTCTCCACAATATATTACAAAACTTTGTTGTTGCCATTGCATCTGAATAATGTCCAGTTCCTTGATCTTCTGGATAAAGAAATAGAACTAAAATCAGAGAAAATGGGTCGTGGAGTCAGCACTGGTAGGGGGCAGAGTTCATTGGGATACTTGTTTGGGGGCGGAGAGACTACCAACAATCCTCGTCCTGTGCAGAGCCAGGGGCAGGGATCAAATAATGGGCCTCCCCAGAAGCATGCTGCTGCTTCACAGCCAGCGGATAACACTACTAGCATTTGAGTGAGTGATGTGAGATTGCGGGTTGAGTGAGGTAAGCTTCCAGTTCATAACTAACCGTTTATTGTAGTTTAGTTTATTGCAGGTGGGCTGGTTGTACTGTAGGGAAGACAGTTGAGTGATGTGAGATCCTAAATAGAATTGAGTGTGGTAAGCTTGGAGGGTTGAGTGATGTAGCCGTACGGTTTTTTTGCCTAACTGTTTGTCTATGTAGGTTGGCTGGTCTTTGTTATTAGGGATGGTGGGTTGAGTGATGTAAGATCTATATGTTAGGTTTGTGAGAGTGTTAAGTATTGAGAGATACACATTGTTTTAAGTATCTTGCATGCCCTGTAAGTTAGTTTTGTATGCATGCATATTCTGAACTATTTTATCTTAGTTTGCGTTGATCCTTGTGTTTTACAGGCTCGATCTCTGAGTTCTAGTACTTGGCATCCACTACTTTGAGGATAATCCGTACAACTATGACTAGATGTTGTTGCCTCTACAGTGCTCTACCTCTTCTGTCTACAGATTCTCTGTTGTTGCTACTGGATTTAGAAAGGTTTTCCACTTGAGCATCTTTGTTATCTGGTAAGTAGTAGATTGTGTTGATTTCACCTTTCATATATAATTTTGATGTAACTCTTATTCCCTACAGCATTCCATTTTCTGAATATGATCTGCACAAGGCCTTTGAATCATTTAAGGTTTCCTTACAGTGGTTAATGAAATAGTGTTACATTATGTGTAGAAAAAGAAATAGTGTTACATTGGAGGTACCCCTGTTTCAAGGTTGAAATAGTGTTACATTAATGAAATAGTGTTCTATTTCAAGGTTTGTTGGCAGGTGCATCTTAGATGAACCTTATAGGTACCCCTGTTTCTCTTATTGATCACATTGGAGGTACCCCTATTTCTTTTATCTCTTCTAACATTGATGAACCTTTATGGCCCAATAGCTTATATATGCACCTTAAAGAATTTTTTTATTTTTATTTTTTGGCTTCTTCTTTCCATTATTATTATATTATTATTTTTCTTTTCAAAAATCTGACTATGATGAGTTTTATTGATTGCATGGTGGATCCAAGAACATACATAAATGTCACCCCATGGATTGTACAATTGGGGGTAAGTTCTTTCTCCTTTTGAAAATTTGTATAAAATTTCTCTCTCTCTCTCTCTCTCTCTCTCTCTCACACACACACACACACACACACACACACAAATTTTGTTATATGCCATTCAGATTTTTAATTGGCCAAGTATTGTGTAGAAAATATTCAAGGAATACTTGAGAGAATCGAATTTGTGGAGGGTGTTCAAAATAGAAACCTCAAGTGTTGAAACTGGGTGAGAGAGAGAGAGATGAATTCAAAATTCCTAAACCATTATATTGTGCTTTTCAATATTTTGATGTCATGCTGATAAGTGTATGTACTCTGTTCATTTGAGATATGAAATTAATAGTACAAATTGATTACTTTTTTTATTTATTTTATCTAAATAGATAGTTTTGTTTACATGTTTTATCCTGTACTTCAAGCTTTATATTCATATTGTACATGTTGCTTTTGCTTCTCAGAAAACCATCTCAAAAGTAAGTCCTGGGTCATCAAATGCATCTGGTTCTAGCTCATCAAAAGAGCAGCATAATCAACAATATCCAGGTTTTTCCTTTTATATACACATTTTACAAAACTTTGTTACTTTATTATGTTTACTGAACTTAAAATTTATCTATTGCCAATCCTCCTATTTATTCACTGCACATCTTTTATTGGCTTTGTTTTTATTATTATTATGTTTTACAATTGGCAGAGACCCAGAGGATTGAAGGCCATGGGAAGCAGCATGGAGAGCGATTCAGAATGATGGTGAAGGATGGATGGGGGTTGGGTGTTTTGGTTCCCTTCTTATTTTTTGTGTTAAAATCCTTTGGATTTTTATTTCTCTTCTTTTTTCCTTTTTTCCTCTAATTGGGAGTTATTATTTCATATTAGTGCTGTTTTAGTTCAATCACATAAAATTAGCACAATTTCAAAAAAAAAAAATTAATGATAAGACGGCATTTTTAAAACGCTACTATAACGGACGGAATTTGTAAAATAAAAAACGTATGACGACATTTTAAAAACGTCGCTAAACCCATAGTGACATCACAGTACCATTAGGGTAGGACATTTGGTGGCGTTTTTAAAAACGCCGCTTATTATGATACAGTGACGTTTTCCAAACGTCATAAAGTTATAGCGACGGTCACGTACTAAACGTCACAAAAAGAATTAGCGACGTTTTTAATACCTATAGCGGAGTTTTTTAAGCGCCGCTAAAATCCTAATTTCCAGCAGTGTGAACCGGGAGACTTTAAAGAAAGAAAGGGATAATTAAAACAATCAGAATAAAATTGTGAGAGAGAAAGAGAGAAGAATTAAAGGCCACAACAAGACTGATAAGAGCAGATTTTTATACAAACAGATGAAGAATTTGATGTGTTGTTGCAAAAAAAAGCCAAAAACACCACTGGAAAGGCATGAGAGATGGAACGGATGCTGAGGCAATTTGATAGAAATCAGAGGAAAATGAGATCTGGGTATTGAAGGATGAAGGGTTTTTATTCTTGAGGGATTTGGTAAGGAATTGGCGAGTTTGGAGCAGTTGAATTTTCAAAACAACAATTGATGACTCTGTTTTTTGTTCTCTCACCTTCCCTCTCTTCTTCCTTTGCCGTTTCCATCTCTCTCTCTGTACTTGGTCTTGCTTTGGTCCGGACATAACTAAGCTTTTAAAAATCAATGCTGTATGATAGGGTCCACTTTAGCAATTCATAATCCTCTATGTTTGGATTGGATGATTCTCTTCACAAATTGATGCATCATTTGGGAAGTTAGTTATTTTAATTTTTGATTATTTTAATAGATTAAAATATTTATATTTAGAAAAAAAGTTAGATTTTTTTTGTAATTATATGTAATATTTGTGGAAAAAAAAAACAGTAAAATGATTGTAGATTTGATATAACATTTTATCTTATTAACTATTTTAGTTTATTTTATATTTTTGTGAATTTTAGTCCAAAAAAGCCTAAAGTTGGCTTCCCAAACACTGCCTCACTTAAAAATTCAGATTAATTTTATATTGGGAAAATTAGTGAAACATCTCTCTTCAACTGAATAGTAGGAGAGATCTAATCACGTGATTCCATTTGTAATTCGTTTGTCAATATTTTTTTAGTCTAACCAAATATATGAAGGAACATTTTAATAGAATAATTATTCTATTCCATTCCATTCCATTCCATTTCATTTCATTCACATGGACCAAACACTACCACAAGTGTACCCAATTAAATTAATGTTGCTGAAATTCTCAGGCAAAAATCCATCACCATTTGTATAGTATAATTCAGAATTATACAATTAAAACTGAAGTCAAATAAAATTTTCAATTAAAACTGTGTTAACTCCCTTGAAGATAGTGTCTTGGATTTTAGACAAGAAGTCGACAAAATTAAGGTTCTAATCGTAAAATAAGTAGGAGAGATTAGTGTATGTTACTTGTCGTAGATTTCCATCTGGATGTAACATCCAGTGCATGCTGTTTAATTTTTATTCTGGATAAACAGAAAGACAGATAAAATGACGGGTCTACTTCTCAATTCAATTAACAAAATTGTAGATTCAGTTGATAAGTTCAGTATATGCCCAAAAGATGATCCATTCTTAATTCCATGGTTCAATCATTGACAATGTACAAAGTAGAAATGCTTCTATAGCAAGATAAATACAGTGAGATTTTTTTTTTATGGAGTTGTAATAGAAAGGATAGGATACGAGATAACGCACACCAATGAAAGTGAAAATGTCTACAAGATACTGTTAGAATGAAGGATGACATATGAGCAGAGGGTGAGAGCAATATATGGGACATATTGACTATGACTAAATAAAATATATGTCCCCATATGGAGTGTTGATATTGGAATGGGATTTATACAGCCAACTCAAGCTTGGGGCAAGGATTTTATTAAGTCGAATTCTAAACAGATTTAAAGTCACTGCTGGAAATTAGGCTTTTAGCGACGTTTAAAAAACGCCGCTATAAGTATCAAAAACGTCGCTAATTCTTTTTGTGACGTTTAGTACCAAACGCCGCCGCCGCCGCCGTCGCTATAACTTTTATGACGTTTGAAAAACGTCGCTATATTACTATAGGCGACGTTTTTAAAAACGCCGCCAAATGTCCTACCCTAACAATACTGTGACGTCACTATGATTTTAGCGACGTTTTTAAAACGCCTTCATAGGTTTTTTAAATTTTAAAAATTCCAACCGTTATAGTGGCATTTTAAAAACACCGTCTTATCTTTCTTTTTTTTCTTTCTTTTTTTGGTTTTGAAATTGTGCTAATTTTATGTGATTGAACTAAAAGAACACCAATAATAAAACTAAATAACACTAATATAAAATAATAACTCACATTCAAATAACAAATATAGCATTAATTCACTTTCCCATTCAATTTAATATAGCATTAATTTTCCCACAAAATAACATATTCAAAAATTGAATTCACAATTCTCAATCAAAAAATTACTACCTTATATACAAAGCCACAAAATAACATTACCCTCCTCTCTCTCTCACCACTCCCCCATTTAATACAAAAAATAAGAAGTGAACCAAAACACCCACTGTTAGATCCAAGGAAAATAAGAAAAAATAAAAAACCAAAGGATTTTAACACAAAAAATCTGAAAAAATTGCTGGCCCTTTGGCAACTAATTCAGAAGTTGTGGTTGGATCCGATGACAATTTGGTAAACAACTTCTTCACTTGCTCAACAAGGTCCTCATGCTTCACAGCTCCAGAAGCAACAATTACCTAGAATAGTAGCTCCAGGTAGAACACCCAATGTTTAGGACTTCAAGAAAGTAAATTGACGGCATTGAATAATTGATAGATGAATGAAGGTGAAGCCAACATGTTAACTAAATAGAACTAGCAAGAAATTATGAACAGACAAAATGCTCATAACTTTATGACACCACCTACCATTCTGGATGTAGTATAGTGTGTCGATATATACTTTTGAAGATGATCTTACCAGGGAAACCAACATAAAATACAGGCACACTTTTCTTAATATACAGTCAAAAATGCATCTACAGTCAAAAAGCTCATTTCCTTAATATATAAGCACACTTTGTGGCTCAACTAACTATATAAAAATAAATTCAAAAAAAAAACCAAAACCAAAACCAAAATAGAAAATTTCTACAACTTAACAATTGGTGATTACTCAAAATAAAAAATTTCTCATACTATGCATAAATAAAAAGTAATGCACTTACCTTTTCATCCAATGAGTGAATGAAGCTTTCTGTAGGACTCAGAACTCTTCCAAAGGGAAGAGGAAACTCTATGACACCCCACCTAAACTCATAAATAAATAGGATTAGATAGTATCACAATAGGGTTATTTTAAATGGAACTTTTCACAGATCAATTTACTGTGTATCAAAAGAGAATGTAAGAAGGAGGAGGAGGAGCTCACTTCTTAAAGTTCTTAAAGGCAGCAGTGTCATCCAACTCTGCCCTCATATCTAATGGGTATGGCTCTCCATTCACCAAGGTAAAGGGATTCATCTCAAGGAAACTGAAATCCAGATCTATAGATAGAATAGCAAAAACAAATGTCATGTGAACAATGTCAATGTTCTATGAAAATGGAAGATAATTGTCAAACAAAACATCAACAAAAACATGCACACCCGCAAATACAACATTTGAAGATCAATAAATACAATATTTTCCATTATGTTGCCTTTAGGAATTAAAATATTACTACTATATTTTCCAAGCACGTTAGAATATTCTGTCTTCATATAGTACTAATAAGTTGGTGAAAACAAACCTGGTTGGTGTAAGCATTGCTGCATTTGAAGATCCCTTTAACAAACTGACCAGTCCCTCCTGCAATTGCCTTTGCCAAAAAATTATTATAATCTTGAATCGCAGGTGCATACTCCTTCAATATACATCCTTATTACAAGTATTTTTAAATAGTTAATAAAGATCAGCAACTTACTGATGATTCTAACAAAGCATAGCCCAGAAATGTCCAGGATACATAACCAGGCAACTTGCATAGCAGTAAACATTCTCATAAGCACAGCAAAAAAAAAAAAAATTCACTGTGAGAACATTTTTCTGAGTTTTTTTACTGTTGGTTTCAACATGGAAATGTCCAGTATACATAACCAGACAACTTGCATAGCAGTAAACCTTCCAGAGAACATTTTTGGAGGGAAAAAGCGCAAACAGTCCTCAAAGCAGGTGAATCCTATTCTCAGACACTCATCACTCGAGTTCATATTGAAAGAACCCCAGTGGTTTCCTGCGTGCAACCCCTTTTTGCTGCAGTCTTCAAAAATACTTCGTTCCAAGCCAAAACCATGTTTCAATAGATGGCCATCACAAGTGATTATTGTAACCAAAAAAATAAAAATAAAAAAATTGAAAACTTATTTGAAAGGCTGGATGAGAACTCTGATATTATGATGAATAATGTGTGTGTGCGTGTGAGAGAGACAGAGACAGAGATCCTCTGCTCCCAGACAGACAGAGATCATCTGCTGCCAACAATTACAAGGCTCTACATAAGCAAATCAACTATCCTCATTGTTCTCAAGTCGACCTTAGCTCTTCAAAAGTTGCAAAAATGCAGAATCCATTATTTCCAGGACAAGATAAAAAAGAGCAAATAAGACACCAAACAAACAAAAAATCCAAAACGGAAAATCCTCACAATTGTTTTCACTTCGGAATTGCTAATAAAAAAAAGAGATGGTAACCACATAGCTAAGTTATTCGATTCTCAAAACTAATCCTCGTGACTAATACATTCACAATTTCCACAAAAAATTTAAAAATTACCCAATAAGAGAGATATAGGAAGCTCAGACAAGCACACTAGACATATTTAGGGTCAACTCTGTGAACCAACCTTGCACTTTCTAAGCAGTAAAATAAAGTTTGTGTTGTTTTCTTTGGTGTACACTTCACATATCTGAGACAGACCAAAGATATGCTTCTCTTTCCATAGCATGTTTCTCGTTCGTCCTTGTAAACATTTCCTTTTCAAACCCTACAAAGCGCAGAACAACAGAGGATAAATAATTTTGACAAATAGAAATACAATACAAGTCCATATAGTTCATAATTTGCTTTAACTATTCTAATTTCAATAAAGAATGATGAGAATCAGCTCACGACAAATAAAATAAAATAATTCTCTATTTGTTTTGCTGGAAATCTGGAAAATGAGTTTCTCATTTTCTAGCATCTGGTACGACAGAAAACAGAATTCACTAATAGTTGAGTTGAAAATTTTAAAATTTAGTTGAAAACAAACAACATACAAGAAATAAAAGAAAATATGATACTGACACTTAAATCCAGATACAGGAAAATTATTAATGGAGAGAGTTTTACTCGTTTAACGGTTTAAGTAAACATGAACGGCATATGGAAAATATGCTACTGACAATTAAATCCAGATACAGGAAAATTTAATGGAGAGAAAGAGAACTCACATTAGTGCCAGCTCTCCAAATGATGATAATCTTTCAGCTGTATACAGATGCAGAACCCATGGAACCTCTCCATCTTTTTCTTCCTGCTATTTATGATATCTTATTAACATTGTAACTGAAGAAATTTACAGGGAATAAGCTGCAACATAAAATCAGAAATATTCTCCTCCAGAAAACATGTATTTCATAAAATCAGCTCTCCAAATTTTTGCTTTCATAATCTGTTCTGGAGTTATATTACTATGTGTTTTCTTTTTCTTTTTTTTTTTAAAATATGTTATTCAAACAGATTTGACTAATTACAATTGAGTAATTATTTGCTTATCAGTACATAATATAAAATAACTGCTTGACCAAAAATTGAAACTAACATACTTTTTTTGTGCACCATGTGAAAACTAATCTGTTTTGCAGATTTTTGTTTGCAAAAGCCGTTCTGCTGTTATATTACTGTGTTTTTTTTTTTTTTTAAATCTGTTCTTCGAAATCTGTTCTTCAAACAGATTTGTCTATTACAGTTGAAAATTTTGCTTATGAGTACAAAACCTAAATTAACTGTTAGACAAGAAATTGAAACTAATATACATTTTTTTGTGATAAACTAATTTGTTCTGCACATTTACAAAGGAAAGATTAAAAATAATAGCAAACACCTGAACTAACGAAAGGACTAAAACTTCGTTTGATGACGGAACATGGAAATTCAAATGGGAACTTTAAATTACCTGTGTCATCCTTCCAAACAGAGTAGCCGAGGATGATCAACGGTGCTGAGGAGCCATTCCAGCAGCACCACTTGCTTTCAATGTACGCTGGGGCAGCAGCAGAAGAGTCGAGGAATTGGACAACCAATAGGCTAAGATGTCATTGTTATCTTGGGTCTTTAATCCAAATAATAATACTTAGTTATGAGAAGCCAATTATGACAAAAAGCGAAAACAAGACACACTAGTAGCATATAGGATTAGACTATTCAAACCTCGATAGCATGGCCTATGGTCTGAATGATTCGGTCAAACATACTAGTCCGCTCAACTTCAAAAGATCTCCACTGTAGAAGGCATTTGTAGATGATACAAGCAGCAATTGGTCTGTTCCCTGCGAAGCCTAGGTGTTGTCCAATACATCGGATAAGAAGCTCCTGATTCTCTTGCTGTTTCTCATTAAGAGATTTTTGTGGTTTGTCCTCTACTTCTGAAAGATCCCTTTGGTTTTAATGAAGGGCTATGCAGATTCTAAGGCATTTTTAACAGTAATCAACAAAAATGCTTGTTTAAAAAAAGGATTTCATAAAACATGAAAATTTACCAAAGTTGTCTTTGTATCTACAAACAAATGACCACTCTCACCACCTCTCTTCCAATAGATGAAAACATGAAAATTTCATAAAACATCCACAACATTAGTTCATGATTTGAAGAAGATTGATTTCTGGGAGAACCTGAAGAATTGATCTGGAGCGTCCTGAGAGGATCTTATTAGGTGCCATGGAGACAGCCTGCTGACGAAGGACCTTATTCTCCGATTCTATATTGGTGAGTTTCTCTTCTAACCTGATTTGAATTCCAATAATTAACTAACTACATCCGATTTCATGAAAACAGAAGCATGAATATTTACATAGATGTAACTAATGGCTTTGTAACAGGAGCAAATAAATTTTGTGTTGCACAAGAATACCAATATGTTGATAACAAAGCAAACATGAACTATGTTGTTATTGACGCAGGAAATTTCAACAGTTCAATGCATACATGTACACCATATAACTGAGAAAACAACTAAAAAAATCAACAATCAGAAGCACTTGCTTTTTTTTTTTACTAGAATTGTTTAAATCTTAACTGGGTTATGGGCAACTGGCAAAGCTACATAATAAGTGCAATAGTCAGCTAATGACGACTGCCCACCTGCGATGGCCAAGAATGGAAGTCAATATTCTATCTAAATTTAAGCGATCACTAGCTGGAAGAGCGTCCTGAGAGGATCTTATTAGGTGCCATGGAGATAGCCTGCTGACAAAGGACCTTATTCTCTGATTCTATATTGGTGAGTTTCTCTTCTAACCTGATTTGAATTCCAATAATTAACTAACTACATCCGATTTCATGAAAACAGAAGCATGAATATTTTCATAGATGTAACTAATGGCTTTGTAACAGCAGCAAATAAATTTTGTGTTGCACAAGAATACCAATATGTTGATAACAAAAGCAAAAAATTACAGTGACCTCCCTTTTAGCGAGGTTAAAGGGACAGGAACAAATGAAGATGGTATGAAGACACAAAAATAAATAAGGAAAAAATGTACATTTCATTGTAAAAGAGATGACATCATCATTTTTCCATCTACGTGACTAACAAATTTCTAATGAAAATGAGGCTCAGTGCTATGCGAATTAAAACCTTAAGAGAGTCCAATGTAATTATGCTAAACTTGTGAGGCTTACTATATATTTTTCAAACCTTAGGAGAGGTTAATGTAATTTACTCTTTAATTTATGTTTGGCAGGCCAATATACAGAATTATGAACCTTGATGAAGAAGAAGCTTGGATATAAACTTGATATACAAGACAGCACCTTTGGTCAATATTCGAAATTAGATGGATCCAAATTTTACAAGCACCCACGAGCACGATTTCCAAAGATCCTGATAGCATGATTTTTTATTTAATTTTTTTTTAAAAGTTAGAGAGCCTAATAGAATGATACAGCTCCTTCTTCCAAATTACATAGAAAAGGCTAAGAACATGTTCAAGAATGGTTTCTACTCCTTGAATACACATTAATACACATTAGCCATTAGATGAAGATCATGGACATCGTAGTGGTGCCGTGTCTACTCGAATGGTCCATATTAAGGACATACTGAAATATCATAAACATGGATGCTAAATGGGGCAATGTACCATAAGATTTTATTTATTGTTAATACCATCTGATGAAAGAAATCTATACAAAAACAAACAAATAAATAACAATATCAAGTAGGAAGTGGAAAAGAGCTCATTAAAAAAATAAATATAGCAAGAATTATTTGTCAATTGTAATATGTATGTTAAATACCTACATTACATTACCACTACCAATTAGACATAAGCATAGTAAGATCTCATTAAAAAAGTAACAATTCATATCATAATTAGAAGAACTATTAAAAAATTTCATCCATAAATTCCTAAGAGGAAAACCAAAATAGAGAATAAATATCTATTGTCTACATATTTTCTTGACTTGATAGTTTTTTCATCATTCATAATGTAAACCTTTCATAATTTGTTGCTTCAAACTTTGCTCGTGCAACAACCTGCCTCCCATCTGCTGCTAATCCAGCAACTGTCTGTAATCAATGGTAAATTGCAAAGGAGAGCTTAGAATTATGATGAGAGTTGAATATTGTCAAATTCATATATGAAGTAAATGGGAACGTGATTCTCTGTAGATATTTCAATGTAAAAAAAATCACATAATGCATGTAATATGAATAAAACACTAGACAACAAAGAGCAGGCAAAGCTACAATATATACTATAACTTACCTACAGATGCATGAAATTATTATATGTTGCTCCATAAAAAATTATACCGTTTAAAACAGCATGAACACCATGAAGGCCAATCAAAGATGTTTGCACAGCAAGACTAATACTGATGATAATAACAACAAATAGCAGTAAGTATTAATTAATAAATAAATGGAGCAATAAGCAATGTTCATCAATCATCTTTTAGCAAATAAAAACCTAAAAAAGAGGATACACAGAGTGAGAGAAAATACATAAATCTTCTTAGCTACCTATTTGTAGAACAAACAATAAAACTATTTAAATAAAATACAGTTACAGATCAAAACCATTGAAGCTGACTACCTGAGAGAACTAAAAAAAATAAAAGAGTTATAGATCCGATACCTAAGAAAAACAAAAACATAGATCGAAATCAAAATCATCCAAAACAAGCTTGGGTCAGACCAATAAAAGAGACGAGCACCTAGATCAACAATGGAAATCGAAATCCTAAGCAACCGTTTCAGTCAATCGAATGAGATCAAACTAATAGAATGTAAATCAAAACAGATCTTGATTGCTACAGTGCAGTCATGAAAATCTCTGAATCTAGAGTGAACACAGCGAGTACAGATTGAAAAGCCCTTTCAAAAAGATCCACTGCATTTTTTAAGCGCCGTGAAGAACGAAACCCTAGATAAATGAAAATCAAGGGAGATTGAACAACATCGAAGAGAGATCGAATAATCTCGAAAAAAATTAGTCAAATCGAGTGCACAAAACAAGATTTCAAAATAAAAAAATAATGAAAAACGATTGAGATAAAAGATCTAAGGTTTTGATCTACAATAGACTTACTTGAAATCTTCATCATCAGTTGCTTCGTCAATATCTACAAAGAGAGCTTCATTCGTGCCATTTTAGAGAGAGAATAATGTTGGAAAAGGAGAAAGGGAGGGGAGAGGGTGATGAGTCTGTGACTGTGATGTTTGGAAAAAAAGTGATATTCTATGGGTTTGAGTGGCAGAGGTTTGTTTTTTTTTTCTTTTTTGTAACTCATTAATTAACTGGTAGAGTTAAGCATTGTAAGAGGGGCTAATTTGAGCCCACTAAATTATTTAGGCCCAATAGCCCAAGATTAGTGGGCCCGAATTTATTGCAAGTCCAAGAATCGGTGGGACCAGATTTATCGCCATCAAACGGGCTGAATCGCTCTAAGCCTCGAAGGGGTTCGGATCCACGAACTTAGAGACTTAGAGACTTACTCGGGCCCGGACTCAAAAGGGTGTTGAATAGCATATCCTTGAGTCCTTGCTAGAATGGCTAAGCATTTGAAAGACCTCCTTTCCGAGGGTCGAATTTCTGGATTCCAAAAACATTTTTCTATTCCTGAGGATGTCCATCTTGCTCTGGTAACGAACAATACCCTAGATATGGAGAGGGACGACCGAAATACAATCGTCTTCCCTTTCCTGTCTATTGCGGAGGGCGGAGTTCACTTTCCCCTACACCCATTTCTCAGGGCCGTCCTCCACTATTGGAGTCTGATTCCTTCGCAACCCAATGTAAACTTTTTTCGAATCATAATGGGAATCGTAGAGCTGAACTTGCGTCTCGGGATCAACCTTGGCATTCCGCCGATTCGGCATTGCTATGCTTTGGCCAAATCCTCCGGTCGGCTTGGGCATTACTTTCTCAGGGCTAAGGACACTGACCATCACTTGGTGACAATGCTTGCCAGCTCTGGCAAACGAGTCGATGATGTAATGGTTAATGTCCGAGGTAACTGGGAATTCGGCGAAGGCGAAGATCGCCTAGACCCTATTCCTAGATGGAGGGGTGAACCAGGTTGCCGTATAACTTTTTGTCTGTTGACCTTTCTTTTATGCGGCGTTTTCTTTAAGCCTTACCCTTCATTCTTGCAGGCAATAAGCTGAAGAGGATTTTGACCTCGGCTGACGACGCAGTCCTTGTGGAAATTAAAACAGCACTAAAGTACTTTGGTTGTCCGAACGTACAGAAGCAAGGGAGGGCCACCCATATTCTCCTGCGGTACGAGCCTACTTATACCACATTCTCGGCCGTGGACGATATTCCGATCCCAACCGGTGAACAGCACCTTACGGCTCTTGTCTTCCCTAGCTTCAAGACCCTCAGGCAAATTGGTCTTGAGGCTTCCGATTCGGAGCAAGGCTTAGAGCCGATGGTCAAAGTAGTTGCCGAATCAACGAAGGTGTTCGCTACGGAGGCCGAAGAAGTCGACGAAGCCCTCAAATCAGCGTTTGCAGCAGCCGATCTTAACGAGCCTAACTCTTCGTCCACTTTGGGTCGGGTGGAGTTTTTCTTCGGAGACATTTTTACAAACTTGGGAGATCTACCTGACACTTTTTCTGAAGGCATGGCTGGGGAAAATCTCACGCAGATGGCAAGAAAGAAAAATGTCGAGCGAATGGCCGCCCGAAAGAAAGCCGAGACTGCTCGTTTTGAGCCTGCCCCGGTTGAACCTTTCCGACCGCTTACTGGGGAAGAAACGGCTCACGTTGTTGTGGCCGAGACGGAGGGAGCTAGACAGCAGGTTACGGAAAAGCGGCTGGTTTCAAAAGAGCGGGGAGAAAAACGTTCCGCCGAGGGAGAGGCCGGCTCAAAGGATAGCCCTGCTGACAAACGGCCTCGCTTAGAGGAATCCGACGTGGTTGTCCCCTTCGTTGTGCAACCAAAGATCAAAGACATGTAAATCTCCTCTGATGCATCTGCCATGAAGGATCCAACTGTGGCGTTGAGCTTGGCCACCTCAATTTCGCTACCGACTGACAGGGCCACCTTTCGAGAAGAGCCGGGTTT